CAAGTCTTATGGAGTTTTTAAATTTTCAACAAGCAATCACAAAGTTTTGCCCATTGCATTAAATAGGTAGTGATTTTGCATGCTAAATTTTAAGATTTTTAGGTATTCTTTTTTAAAATATATTTTTAGTTGTCTATGGACCTTTTTTATTTTATTTTTTATTAATATGTGTTGCTGAGAATTGAACCCAGTGCCTTACACATGCTAGGCAAGTGCTCTACCACTTAAGTCACAACTCCAGCCCAGATTTTTAGGTATTCTTGACATGTTTTTCCAAAAACAAAATCAGTATAAATGCCCTTTTATTTTTAAAATCTCAACCCGTCTTTGTACTAATGCAATTTGATTGGTTTTCACCCGAGTGATGAAAAGTGGGGAGGGTTATGTGTTGGGACTAACAGGTGATAAGATTGTCATGACTCCAGATACATTGTGGATCACAAATATGGGTTGGCTCTGTCAGAGATATCACCTTTCCACCGTTTCCCTACGTGAAACCTAGAAGTCTTTGCCTTTTCCTCTTTCATGCCCTGCATGCAATAAGTAGAGCCTTATTGATTACTTATTTAGAAAAATCTCTTGGCTTCGTCTTTTCTGTTCCTGCAACCAGGGTATCATTTCTTTTTTTGCTTAGTTTTGTTATTGTTTTTTGTGATCCCTCCCATCTCCCGCCACCGTGTGATACTGGGGATTGAACCTAGGGCCTTGAACATGCTAGGCAAACACTGAGCTGTATCTCCAGCTGTTTAAATTCTGTATTGAAACAGGGCCTTGCTGAGTTGCCCAGGTTGGCCTCCAACTTGTGATCCTTCTGCCTCAGCCTTCTGAGTAGCTGGAATTACAGACCATCCTCATCCTGTGAGATCAGACAGTGTCTGCGTTTTTTAAATTGTGAGAACCGGGCAAGCTCTCTCAAGTGTGTTATGCAGTTGAGGGATCTTGCTCTAAGCCTTTCCTCCCCTGTGGTACAAGATTATCAAGGTAATCTCCCCAAAATATACTTTTTAATATAACTCACTTAACAAAACCTATAATTACTGACAAGTTACCAGGGATTTTCACATGTTATATCTCGTCCTACACAAACTACTCCATAAGGTTCATATTACCTCATGTTACTCCTTGTGAAATGACCCGTCATGACTTCTATTTCCCATTAAACCAATGATTAAACTCTTAATATTGATAGGGTTCCATATTTTATGCTATGACTCTGTAAACATTTAATCATCTTTCTTCCATGAGAACTGGACTTAGCCTGAGCCAGATATTCTTCCTTAAGGTCTTTTTTGGGTATCGATTTCATTCCTTGCCTGATTTCTACTCAAAATATCACTCTTGTTCACCTACCCCAGTCCCCCACCCATACTGTCCTCTCATTTCAACTTAATGTATTTTCCTGTGAATGTAAATTTGTTTTTCCTAATGTTGTAAAAAATATTATGTAGGATATTTGAAAGTGAAAAGATAGCTCTGCTGACTTCCCAGTTCTAGTCCATCTAAGTAACCACTGTTATGTGTCTTACAATAACTCCTTTATGCATAAACAAAAGTATGCATAGGGCCTGGGGCTGGGGCTATGACTCAGCGGTAGCACACTTGCCTGGCATGTGTGAGATACTGGGTTAGTTTCTCAGCACTGCATATAAATAAATAAAAAATAAAAGGTCTAACAGCAACTAAAAAAATTTTTTTTAAATATGCATTGGCATGTGTATCATGCGCATATTCATTTACATACACAGGAGGCACAGGCACAGATGGAGAGATAGATATGTAGATATGTGTTTTATACAAACATACCATTCTACAACTTTCTTTTTTCAGTTGACAATACATCAGAAATCAGTGTGAATATGTTATTGCACTTAAACTATCTTTATTGCCCTAGACTGTCCCATGTTTAATTGTTTTATGCATATACATCTTCTCTGTCTTCAAAAAGAAAATGGAAACTCTTTAAGGAAAAGAGAAATTCCCTATTCATTCTCTTTTCCGTTCCTTTATTCTTTACTCTGTTTCTTCATTTTATATCACTATTCATACTGTGGAAAATCAAAGATGTTTGTTTCTTAATATCACTAAGGAGTTACAATTAAGTAGATAAGAATTCTCATTTATTACTATAACTCTAAAGCAAGGAAGAAATTGAGAAGTGATACAGATATTCTCTGGAAATATGGCAGTGAGGTGATTTGAACAATCTTCTTGCTGAAAATAATTGAAACTATTGACGATATAAGAAAATATCCACAGGGCAGCATGGCAGTTTCATCTTCTCCATCTCTCTCACTACCAGCCCACAGCCCTCCCCACTTGGGTGAAGGAGGGCAACCTTCTTCTATTAGTACAAAGATAGCTTGGAATTTTAAAAATACATTAACATTCATTTCATTTTGGGAAATAACTTCAAGAAAGCATAAAAAGATACAGAATTAAAAACTGAAATCTGAAAGAAAGTGAGCTTCCAGAGAGGCTTTCAGAACCCAAGTGCTTTTGCCCTAGGGCATTTGCCCATCCTGGTAAATGTGAACTTTTTCTTCCTCATAGTAGTTAAACAACAAAGAAAGCTAGGAAATGATTACCATAAATGCAATGATTTGGGGCTGGGAGACAGAGTTCCTCAATTTTTCTTTTTATTGACCTGATGGTGGTGATATAAAAGAATTATTTTCTGAACTAAGCATTTGTATTTTGTGTACTTTTCTGTACATATTTATAGATTACAACAAATAATTCAATGTAAAAGAAGTTTCCAAATATATGTATACAGCATGATTCCATGCATATGTGCATATTATATAAATGGTGCATATGTATTTGTATATTATATAAGTAGGGGTATATAAAATGTTGCACATTTATATAATAAATGTAAAAAGCTGTATTTATATTCATTTATAAGTGTGTGTTTCATGAACATAGAAAAAAATCTGGATGTACCAAACTTGACTCCATTAGTAAGTGGATGTCATTCTTCAGAGATAAAAAGTGGTATGGAAGGAGAAGGAAGGAACTTACACCTTTATATCCCTTCAGTTAAATTTTAAAATAATCATTATTCTTATATTTTTTTTAGAATCAGATTTTTAAAAAGATATGACTTCTGTCTCTTCCCCCAGATAGTAAAGTACCCCCTCCACCATAAAACAGTACTGTTTGTTAAATGTATCATTTCTTTACTAGACCATAGGCTCTTAAAAGGAATTATATTATATATTATATATATATTATATATTATAGTTATCTTTGTGGTTTTTTTGTACCTAGTAAATCCTGGTACATGGTAGAGGGTCTGTGACACCAGTGAAAAATGAATGAGTAGGTGTCCCTCACAAAGAACAAAAGGCTGTAGGCATCCAGCAGATAAAACATTTTCTTAGAGGCTCTTGTTATACTTTGTAATATTATTTTGTACTGGCACAGCAGTGGGCATAAAGTTGGCACAGTAAATATAGGTTGATTTGAATTTAACCAGCACTTTGTGGAACTGTAGGCCAATGTGGAGCCCACCGTGTGGTGTGTCCTTCTTGATCCCAAAAAGCAGGGAAACGAAAATACCCTCTGAAAATCGTTAAGCTGAGAAGTGAATACCTAATAGATTAAAGAAAAGAAATGATATGATCTCAAGAGATTGAAAGACATCTTGGAACTGGGTGTGGTGGCACACACATGTAATCCCAGCTAGGAGGCTGAGACAGGAGGATCAAAAGTTCAGGACCAGCCTGGATAACCTAGCGAGACCCTGTCTCAGAATAAAATTTTAAGAAAAAGCTGAGGATGTAGCTCAGCGCTGGAGCACTTGTGTGAAGAAGCCCTGGGTTCAATTCCCCATAGAACACACACATACACACACCCATTGGGCAGTAAGATTTGACTATAACCTAGTTGAAGATATTGACGTCTTATACACACGTGTGCACACACACCTACCTTGAGCAGTAAGATTTGACTATTGAGGGTATTGACATCTTAAACACATTCTCTCTCTCTCTCTCTCTCTCTCTCTCTCTCTCTCTCTCTCCCCCTCTCCCCCTCCCTC